TCAGACAGCCATTGTGTCTATTTTGAATATAAAGAAAATGACTTATATATCTGTGTCATCTTCGTTTATCTATTCAAGTCAGCATTCAACGTAAATAGATGTAGTGCTTTGATAGCCTCATTCAGGATATCAAGCCATCTCGTGTAAACCTCAGGGTTGAGATCTGTCAGCCCCACTACCTCCCAGAGCTGCTTTACTGTCTCTGAGTAATACTTTACCGATATCATATTGTTACTGCTGCTCTTTCTGCTCCTTCTGTTCCTTCTACTCTTACTACTACTGCTGTTCCTGCTATTGTTCTAGTAACCGAAAGCTAATGAGCTCTGACTGGTCAGGCTCAGACTTTTATGCCCGAAATTCACGGTGACGCAGTGAAATAGCGGTGACGGCGCTGCAGAGAATATTTGCGTCTGCGCAGTGATCCAACGACGATGGCGCTGCAAACAGAAATGGGAGTTCAGGGATCTGGCTATAAAAGGCCGAGCTTAAACAGCATCATTCTCAGTCATTAGGAAGTATCTTCTAGCAGTAACAGCAACAGCATTAACTCCAGCAGTAGTAGTAGCTCCAGCAAATCTTGTAACGGTAAGAAAAATTTTATTATTATTTATTTTACTAAAACTATCACCTGTATCCTGATTCTGAATGAAAGAGATAGTTTGTGACATAAAGAATCAGGAGATAAAGATGGCAGTTTTTGTAAAATAAACAAACTATTTTTTTAATGTTTTTTTTATTAATTAAAATTTATTTATTTTTCCTTGTTGCTGCAGCTGCTGGGTTGGTGGTCGCTATTACTGCTACTGCTACTGTTGCTAGTACTAGCTGGTTTGCTGTACTCACTGCTCTTGATGGTTCTGCTGTGCTGTGCTGTACTGTGCTGTGCTATACTGTGTTATGTTGTGCTGATGCTGTGTTGATGCTGTGCTGCTGATGCTCGTTCCTGTTGGTGCACATTTCTGCTGCTTATGCTGATACTGCTGCTACGCTTGTGCTCACTGCTGCTGCTGCTGCTGCTAATCCTGCTGGTGCTGGCTTCCAAATCATGGGAGATAAAGTGTGTGTGTGTGTATGTGTGTCTGTGTGTGTATACATATATATAATATACAAATTTATATATATCTCCTTTTTCTGTTTTAGGTGATAAGAGCCATCTTTGACGAGATGACGCAGTCTCCTTCTACTCTACATAGACCTCTAAGCTCAATTTTCGATCGACAGTTTTCTATGCTACATTTTTTTTTAATTATTAATTTATTAATTTATTAATATTTTTTCTGTTGTTTGTAGGATGAATATGTAAACTATACTTTCTTGAGCACGTTGCGTTTAAGCAACATATTGAAGAAGTTGGAGCGGTTCCGGGATGAGGACATTGCGCACTACAACAAAATTGATGTAGTGCGCAGGGCTGAGCTGCTCGCCACACGTAGCAGAGAGAGGCTCCTGAAAAGAAGAAGTCGGTGAGACACGTACGTAAGCACTGTCTCACCGATTCATGCTCCTCTCTCCAAAGAGATCGTTGAAGATGAGGAGCACATCAAGTGACGTCTCCCTGCTGTAACAATCATCGACCAAGCATCTCAGCATCAGCAGCCGAAAATGAGGAGGATGAGTAGAGTGAACGACTCAAAAAGAGGTTTTCTTCCTCAACTCAGTCATGCCAAGGATGAGATCTTCAAATATTAAATGTAACTCTGTACACCAATAACAAGGTATGTTTTTGTATTACAGAGTAACATGTGCTGTAGGCCTCATATGCCCGGCAAGACTTAATGCCATGGAAAGGATTTTATACGCTAGAAATAATAACTAGATTATAATTTTTATAGAGTGATGTATTTTTGACTCTAGAAATAAATATATAAATTAAATAAAATAAATACTATCTTTTAGCAATAATACAACGTTACACATATTTAGGTATTATAACGGACTACAGTTTTGAATGGAAACATCATATAGAATACGAGGTGTGTTCAAAAAATAACGAGAATTTTCGTTTTATGAAAAAAATATTTATTTATTCATCTACATTAATGTTGTCGCCTTCAAAGTAGTTCCCTTCGGATACAATACACTTATGCCAACACTTTTTCCAATCCTCGAAACACTTTTGAAACTCGATCTTTGTAATAGCTTTTAGCTCTTTCAGCGATTCGCTTTTAATGTCATCTATGCTTGTAAAACGACGGCCTTTTAATGTTCTCTTTATTTTTGGAAATAGAAAAAAGTCACATGGAGCCATATCTGGCGAATATGGAGGCTGAGGCATCGTTACAGTTTCGTTTTTGGACAAAAATTCACGAACAAGCAATGAAGTGTGAGCAGGCGCATTATCGTGGTGCAAAAGCCATGAATTGTTTTGTCACAAATCCGGGCGTTTTTTTCGGATTGCTTCACGCAAACGACGTTGAACTTGTAGGTAGTACTGCTTATTGATTGTTTGACCTTGTGGCAAGAATTCATAATGCACTATGCCATTAAAATCGAAGAACACAGTGAGCATAACCTTCACATTCGACCGCACTTGTCGAGCCTTTTTCGGTCTTGGCGATCCAGAATGCCTCCATTGGGACGATTGAGCCTTAGTTTCGACATCATATCCGTAAACCCATGTTTCGTCACCTGTTATAACACGTTTTAGTAGTTCTGCATCGTTATTGACTTCATTTAGCGACTCCTGAGCAACTTCCATTCGCCGCTGTTTTTGTTCGAAATTCAACAATTTTGGAACGAATTTTGCTGCCACACGTTTCATACCCAAAACATTCGAAAAAATTTGATGGCATGAGCCAACTGATATGCCAACATCATCAGCGACTTCTCTGATTGTGATTCGGCGATCGTTCATAACCATTTCTTTCACTTTTTTCACGTTTTCATCGGTTGTTGATGTGCTTGGGCGTCCGGGTCGTTCGTCATCTTCAACGTTTTCGTGGCCATCTTGGAAACGCTTATACCACTCATAAATCCTTGCTTTACTCATAGCAGACTCACTATATGCCTTTGTTAACATTTGACAAACTTTACTACACTTTATTTCATTTTTTACGCAAAATTTAATACAAATTCTTTGATCCATTTTTTTTCACAAACGAAAATCGCCGAGCTCGAAAAACACGTCTAACGTTAGCGGCTGCCACTTAAAAAGTAAGCAATGAATATTGCTGAAAATTTTATCGTACTTCAGGGGCATGTGTACCAACATAATAAAAAAAAATTTTATACAAGCGGACTCTCTAAACCCGCGAAATTTAAAAATTCTCGTTACTTTTTGAACACACCTCGTATATAGTAAAAAAATCAAACATATTTTTTTAATGGCGAATCTTGCCAAATTTATGGATACGAAGGTGTCAACATATGGGTTATTCTTGGCTATTTCTGTTGACTTGTAACCCTTAGGTTATGGATTTTTTTTTAACTTGGGATAATTGTTGTACACATAAAAGTGAGATTTTTTCCAAATTTTGATAACGATACATTAATTATATCCAAAGTTATTATCAATTAAAGAAAAATTATAAAAAAAATTTCAAACGGCTATATTTTAAAAACTAATAAAGATATCGAGGTCGGATTTTTTTCATAACACTTATAATGTCTTAAAATTTCGAAATAATTACAATAAACAATAAAATTTTTTTATTTCGAAAGTTATTAACTTTTTGTTCAAACAATTGCTAATATCTCAAAAAGTATATTTTTTTTTTGAAAAATTCTTGCTTCTGCATGTTCCTGATTTTTGCTATCAGTCATAAAATTCAAGGGCCCGACATATCGGAAGGCGTAGCCCTAATTAAAAGAAAACGCCTCATCGCAAGGTCACGAAGATGTCCCGCTGCCATTGCGACCGTACACCGAAGCATCTTCTTTTGATTATGGCTACGCCTTCCGAAATGTCGGATCCTTGAATTTTATGACTGATTTCGATAGCAAAAATCCTCACGAACACGCAGAAACAAGTATTTTTCAAAAAAATATGCTTTTTGAGATATTAGCAATTGTTTAAACAAAAAGTTAATAACTTTCGAAAAAAAAATGTATTGTTTATTGTTGTAATTATTTCGAAATTTTAAGACATTATAAGTATTTTGACAAAAATCCGACTTCGATATCTTTATTAGATTTTAAAATCTAGCCGTTTGAAAATTTTTTATCATTTTTCTTTAATTGTTAATAACTTTTGATATAATTAATGTATCGTCATCAAATTTTGGAAAAAATCTCACTTTTATGTGTACAACAATTGTGCCAAATTAAATAAAAATCCGTAACCTAAGGGTTACAAGTCAATCGAAATAGCCAAGAATTACCCACTTATGTTCGTCACAACATTGCCAATTATGGTATTATTGCTAGAGAAGGAGCGTATGGTTATACATTAAATTGCATCCAGAAAAATCAAAACAGATTAATAAAAAATGTACTCAGAAAATCAAAGAGCTCATATCTGGCAATATCTATGAAGGAGCACTTCATACTGGAAGCGATATCGGAGAACTATAAAATCCAAGCCATGAAATATAATATTTTCAATATCATAACCAGACACAGAATCATTTTGTCATACTATTACTTCAAGATGTTACAAATATGTAGTTTTTAAAATATTTAAAAAATTCAGCAGCACTATGAAAAATCTAAACATGAACATTAAAAAAAGATGAAGAAACTGAATACAAAAATAGATACAAGACAATCCAACTACATTGTTGGAGATGAGTATTTTATACAAAGTTAGTATCCTAAAATAAATTGCAATTATGAAACAATATATGTGCTTTAATGTTTCCTTTTCGTTTATTTTTATTTTTCATGTACTACAGTGTTTTGTGTATTCATGTAAGTTTTACTATCTAGTGAAAAAAGTGGCAAATTTAAATAAAAATAAAGTAAAATTATAACTATCATTGATGAATTAAGAGTTTATAAAGTAAGTATATCGATTTCAAATAGTTAATTTAAATGTATTACTAATTTGAAGATGATACTACCTTTAGTTTTAGGATCGTCTTTTTTAATCCTAACAATATCCATCAACTTTTGAATCAATAAATGTACGTGTTGACAGCACCTCACTGGATTTTTTACGAAATCCAAAGCAGCATTTATACTCAAAGCATTGGTTGGATTTATCTGTTCTTTGTCAACTTTTAAAAATTCTCGATCTTGCTGCAGTAATTCATGTAAACGATTCTTAACCCTGAAAATACGGAAAGAACTTATTCTCTTGCAGGTGCTGACTTTTTTGGTTTGTATTTTTAATAAGTTGAATAACTTTACTTTTTGCGTCTCAATAATTAATTCTTATTAGTTTACTTTTAACGTGCGCACTTTTTTATCGTTGTGAGATAAGTCAGAAAAGTAAAAAAGACAGAGCAATAGGAAAGAGAACCAAGGAGAAATAAGTAAGAAGGCACGCTGACGGATAAAATAGGCGCAATATAGGGAAGCGAAATGTAGTACGGTGTTACATCCTAAGCAAGCCAGATATCGCACGCTGAAATGTTGCCGAAATAGCAGTTTATGTACGATTTTTAGTCTTTCTCACGCAAGCGGCTAACTGCACGGTTCCTCACTCTCGGCAGCTTCGGTATGGATCGACCTTCTAACGAAATGTACATGTAAGTCGATGCCGTTCCCTGCTGAGAGCGAGGGACACGTATAGTCTTCCACCTAATATGCGCTTTTGACAAAAGTACATCACGAGAGTGGAAGACAGACAGTCCTCCTATCTTACGCTGTTGCGAGAGTTACTGAATAGGATCAGGAACGACTCGCGAAGCTGAAAGAGTAATTAGCCCACTGGTCGGTAACATTAGTTATCACGCCAGTTGGCGAGTCATTGCTGGTCTTTTTTTCGATTGCGGAGAGAATTGGACATATATTATAAGACTCCGAACGAAATCGTAATGAGCCACGCGAAAATAAAAACGTTTAACTCTTTTGTAAGATAAAAGTGTACTAGTAATGAACAAATCAATACCATCAAAGAGTATAGCCGAGTTTCAATGTTGATTTCGGCCCCAAGCTATTTTCATAAATAAATTATAAATAAATTGTGGGGCCGCGTTTGGCATAAAAAAAAAAGTCTTTTTCCAAATCTTCAGCTTATAGGGTGAAGCTGGGGTAAGATGAGATGCCTGAAACCATTTTTCGTGACTTTTTTCATTCTTTTCCCTATAGCATAGCCATATCTCAATATTTTTAGACGAAATTTCTTTAGTTTTATACCTGAGGAAATTTTCTAAAAGATACATGCTCTTCTAATTATATTTTTAACCTACAAAAGCCTTTGGAAAGTGACTTTTTATCAAACAATTGTACTTTTTTGCGACTTTTTCCTTTTCTTTTTAAATTCTCGGTATATCATATTAATTTTGCAAACTTTTCACCCATATCATTCGATTTCTCGTTAAAAATTACATGAAAACGTGTATTTTTAAATTAATATATCGATGCGATTTCTTTCGTCCGAAATACCATTTTTCACGATTTTTCGTACATTATCGACAAAAAAAAGTATCCTACGTATTTGCAATCACTGCCATTCGATTTCTTGTCAAAAAATATATGAGAATTATATATGAGAATCATATATACCGGGTGTTCCAGACCATCCGTACAGCGATTTTAAAATCGAAAATTCTTTTTTTTGTGAAAAATGTTTCAGATGAAAGTTGTTTACGACAAAGGGGGCCATCTATCTGTATAATTAGTTTTGACCTTGAACATCGTTTTCAAGGTCATTTGAAGGACGAATTGTTTTTTTTAAATGGGAACCCCTATTTTTGACATCGGATTCGGAAAGAGCGGGAAATTTTACGTCCAAAATGGTATTTAGGAAATTTTTTTCATGACCTTGAGAAAGGAATTTCAAGGTCATATGCTACAAAATCCTATGATTGCTATTTGCTAGCCTTTTCTCATGAATAGCAAATCCCAATATTACAACGAGCTTGAAAATGTTGACCTTGAAAAGGTTTTTCTTACTTTTAGCGTTACCCAGAAACAACGACGTGAACGTAGTAAGGTTTGTTTCCTTTGATATTTAAAAATTTGATATTTAAAAAGATATTTAAAAATTTTTTTTCATTGACTTGAGAAGGTCGATTTAAGGTCAAATGCTTGAAAAACTGCCTAAAAGCGTTTTTTTAATTTTTAAGATATCGAAAAATGACCTCTACAAAATTTGTTCAGAACAGAGTGGGCCACCCAATGCACCAAAAACTTTGATCTTTAACCTCATTTTGAAGGTCATTTCAAGGTCGAAGTTTTTTTTGTAATGGAAACCCCTCTTTTTGACCCCGGATTCGCACATAGCGCGAAATCCGACGTTTGGGGTATTATGTGGAGATTCGATTGATACACGACGTTCATCCCTAAGATCATGTGAAATTTAAATCCAATAGTATTTGCGAAACATTTACAAAATGTTTCGGGCTAAATTTATTAAATTCTACTGGGAACACGTCGTGGATCAATCGAAACTCAACATAATACCGTATCCAAACGTCGGGTTTCGCGCTATGTGCGAATCCGGGGTCAAAAAGAGGGGTTTCCATTACAAAAAACACTTCGACCTTGAAATAACCTTCAAAATGAGGTTAAAGATAAAAGGTTTTTGGTGCATTGGGTGGCCCACTCTGTTCTGAACAAATTTTGTAGAGGTCATTTTTCGATATCTTAAAAATTAAAAAAACGCTTTTAGGCAGTTTTTCAAGCATTTGACCTTAAATCGACCTTCTCAAGGCCATGAAAAAAAATTTTTAAATATCTTTGTAGACGTAAAATTTCCCGCTCTTTTCGAATCCGATGTCAAAATTAGGGGTTCCCATTTAAAAAAAACAATTCGTCCTTCAAATGACCTTGAAAACGATGTTCAAGGTCAAAACTAATTATACAGATAGATGGCTCCCTTTGTCGTAAACAACTTTCATCTGAAATATTTTTCACAAAAACACGAATTTTCGATTTTAAAATGGCTGTACGGATGGTCTGGAACACCCGGTATAATAAAATATATATGAGAATTCATTCCGAACTACTTTAGTTTTGAAATATGCCGTCCAAGGGTGTACACTATAAGAGTGTAAAATCAACTATCTGAGATATATAGCTTTCGTATATACTACATATACGTAAGTAAAGTTCACTTTATATTGTGTATGCATATGCGAATACATATGTGTGTATGTTTTTGTGTATGCAAGTATTCATATAGTCAAAATAGTTCAAATAAGAAAATAGTATAATAATGTACGACAAATTAATAAAAGTAACTTTTTCAGACGTTTTAGATAAAAATAAGTTCTTGATTTTTTCATAAGTAACTTTTATTGTTTATAAAATATATTTAAATACAACTTAGGAATATCACCTTAATTTTCATCACTTTAGTTACTATCATAGTTTTCGTTGGAATCACTTCTTGGCTTTCCTTCCTCATACTCATAAAAAGTTTCTTTTAGACTAGCTTCATCGACAACTGATTCTTTCTCACTTTCATTTTCAGTTTCAATATCATTAATTCTACCAAACTCGACCGTTTCTTCTCTAAAAGGAGTCGTTCATTTTTCAGTAGGCTTAAATATTTTAGAATGATACTTTACATTAGCTAACTAATAAATTATAGCAGCTACGTGACAACAGCAACCGATAGACCTCAGCCCGTTAGGGCAATTATACGTATATCTTTTGATTCCACTGAAGCCGTCTGTGTTAGATTTATAATCTATGTAGCATTTGTATGTTTTACTGTTAATATCACGTAATCTTATTGAAAAAGCAATGATATTATGCTCCTGGAGATATTTTAGTTGGAGTTTCTCATCCGCATCTGAAATCTCAGCCAAGTATGATATTGCCTTTGTAAGCTGTAAGTTCCAGAAAAAACAATTTTTAAATCTCGTTTGGCGATTTTCGGAAAACCGTCAAGATTGTCTGAATTAAGTTTCTTAAATGGCTCCGTTTTCCGACTACAATTTTATTTTTACACTTATTTTGCGAGAGTATTTTCTTTGTATTTTGGCTTTAACATTCTGCTTATGATTTTGGCAGAATGCTATCATTGGTCTTAAATCGTTTTCCATATTTGTTGTTCAAAGAAAAGCATTTCGCCCAAGGACCTTTGCTTTAGGAAGTAGTTTATTGTCTAATAATGGTGAAGTAGTTTAAAGTTCTGTTTTATTTGTCCATGAACAACATCAATAACCCAAAGTAATTTTGTCACGAAGCGTGATACATAATTTCTTATGTTGTAAGCTGTTTCCTTTTATATTTTAAAGCTGGCATCTTGACAATAAATCCTTTATCTTCTAATAACACAGGCCAACAAAATTTGACGAAAATCCAGATCCAGAGACCGGATCTAGTTAACCCAAAGGGATTTTATGCGCTGAAACTGAATCTGGCCTTAGAATTTATCCATACCCCTCAGTTTCTAAGATATCCTAACCTAAAAGTGCAAACAAAACTGTTTTTCGCTGTTTTTGAACTCTTTTTACATCGCTAATTTCCATTTTAGTCAAAAACTAGAATAAGCATTCGTAAGAGCAAGTTATCTACTTAAAAAAGCACTACCTATTTTTTTTATTTGAAATTTTTAAAGGGGAGATATCGTTTTTTGAAATAAAAAAAATAAGTAAGATTCTTGGAGTTTGATTTGAGGATTAGTCTGTCATTGGTGTAAGAAATCTAGGGTTCTTAAGGTTTCAGTTTGACGTTAACCTGTCGAAGTGTAAAGAATTCATATTATTTCTGACTTTCAATGTTCGCAATTCTTGTTTCATGTATGTTTTACGTTATTGGATAACTCAGCAATTGGGGTTCGTGATTTGACGCCAAAGACATTTTAAATTTATTAATTGTTTAAGATTGTAAGTGTTGTCTGAGTAGATTGCATTATTAACTGGAATTTACTGATTATATATGAATTATTAATCTATTTTTACACACATCAGATGATTTTTCATACAGTTCATCGTACCATTGAAAACTCAAATTTTCTCTATTACAAAGAACAATATCTCCGCTTCAAAAATTTTAATTAAAAAAATAAGGTAGTGTTTTTTAAAGTAGACAACTTGTCTTTTCGAATGTTCTTTTTAGTTTTTGACTAAAATGGAAATTAGTGACGTGAGAAGAGTTCAAAAACAGTGCACTTTTAAGTTAGGATATCCTAGAAACTGAGGGGGATGGATA